AGAAAACGACAATATTTGTTAGTTATATTTATGTGTGCATACAATATTTTGTATATATTCTCTTAGACTTTAACTGTGTGATAATTTATATTATATTATATTTTAGATGTAATTTTTATTAAACTTTGTAAATATTAGTTTAAACTGCAAGAGCTACCGTTTTAAAATATTTGTAAATAATAAATTGATATTTAATAGGTTTTGTTTGCGGAAACACGACACGACTTTGTTTATCTGATTGTCTCGCTTTATGAAACATATAAACCTTTATATTTTTCGCTGTGTAATATAAATAAACTCTGTAAAGTCTATGAAGAACAAATTTTGCACTCGCTCGTTCGTTTAATTTGCGAAAACAGATTAACGCGTGCGTAAATATCACACGTACGTAAGTATTTCCCATGAAAAAATCTCTATATACTATTCGGTTATCCGGTTATCCGGTTATCCAGTTATCCGATTATCCGGTTATCCGGTTATCCGGTTATCCGATTATCCGGTTATCCGGTTATCCGGTTATCCGATTATCCGGTTATCCGGTACCCGGGTTTTCTACCATGCCCTCTGGAAATGCCAAAAATGGTTCTACAGGTCAAAGTGCACCCATACGCGTGAGTTTTACGTCATCCCGGCTAAAGGGAGCTCCTTATTGGCCAAGTATTACGTAATACAAGCGCGTGCTAGTAAAACCCGATACTTTAAAAATTCAAAATAAATATTTCTAGTCGGCGTATACATACGAAACTTTCTACACGAAAGCGCTTGAATACAAAGAGCATTTTACACATATATCCTTTCAGGAAATGACACCAAAGTTTAGAATATATTCAACTTTTTCTCATTTTCTCCTTTGAATGTTTGGCGAAGCGGTGAGTATAAAATATATGATTGTTTCGGTTTGTGTAATGTTTTGACGGCACTTGACCCCCCGTTCGAAAGGTTATATTGTGAGGATTTCAATGGTGGCATTTATTTAAAAGGGGAGTAAATACTCGCCGAGATATTTATATTAGAAAAATTGAATTCGAAATGTAATACGAAACAGGTTGTCGAGAAAGAGTTATTAAATTCGATAACTAAAGATGTATACACAATTTATCGAAGGTTAGTATTATTCTTTGTTTTAAACTGTGAGAGAAGATTAATTGTGTACTAGAACACACCTCTGAGGCTCTGGCCGAGTATTTATGGCAAAAATTATGTGCCTTCATTGGCTTCGTATAGCGTTAATTTTATATTTATAAAACTAAAGTCTGGGTTTATAAACTGAAACATGTCCTTTAGTTTTTGATATTCTTCATAGTCGAGTTTAAATTGGCTTAATTTATAGTTAGTTACCACTAGAAATGCGACGATATTTTGTTTTTTCATATATGCAACAGTGTTTACAACTTTTGAATAATATGTAATTTGGTTTAAATTTGTTTCAGATACTATTACATGTTGCTTCATTTTGCCATAAATTGTGTTAAAAAAGTGATTTGCTCATTTGGCTGATGTTACAGCTTTCTGATGTGTTTTGTTTGGATGATATTAGAACAATTTCAATATGAAAGTGCAGGTGTCTTTAGACATGAGCCATAATGTATATATCAAAATACTGATAAAATCCGTTTCCAGCTTGATTGTATTTGCATTGTTGCAGACAAAGTTGTGCAATGGTGGGCTTATGTCACATACTCATATGTAATTCCATGTGCCTGCATGTACTTTGATGCCTCAAGAGATGCTTCGAATGTGTAATAAAGGGCTGTTCGCAGGAGTTGGGCTGTCTGGCCTTAAATTGCATTGTTTTTATGATATTTTAAGATTGTATTCATATGGCTGGACCATCTTGCCATTGCCACAATGTCTGATGTTCAAACAGGCTTTAAAATCAGGTTACAATGCATGCTTGAAAATATGCAACAATTTCACTGCTAATAATATTCCAGAAAATCCTGCCTCTTGGGCAGATCTGGACTGATTTGTCAGAGGGGGTTGAAGGTTTTCTACTTGTGATCGGGCAAGGGGAGCTAGCCAAGGATGCTGGGTCAGAGTCAAACTCATGTGAACAGCTTCTAAGTCCTAATTATATTGATAAATTATGTACACTTTGGGATGGTAATGCAATTTGTAAAATATTCCACATTTTAATTAACAAAATTTAATTATATACATTGTTTGTGTTGCTTATATTAATACCTTGGACAGTGTATATTTACACCTTTGGACCCTGTAAATAAACTCCTTTGGAGGGTGTACCCATTCTAAGCCAAAGGGCAATGTGCCCTACTTTAATTAGTATATTACTCCTCTGGTGCCAGACAATTTTACTCAAGGGCAGAATGTACACTTGCCACAAGTCGACCTCGAACGAAACGTCGGCTCACACTCGCTGCTTGCGTTTCGTTCGAGGTCGACTTGTGGCAAGTCTAGGCAGAATGCTGCCACTCAATGAGTTAATATATTCTCAGAACAGTTACCATCAAATTAAATCTATTGTGCTGGCAAAATTGCCTTGGAGGGGGCCTTGATTTGTTGAGTCTTTTATTTTTTTGGGGGGGGAGTGTTGTAAAACACAGAATAGCAACTGGTTTCAGAATAGGAAGAATTGTTGTAATAGAGGCAATATAATTCTAAGACAAATCATCCAAAGGAAGCAATCATTCTAGCTCTTATAGTGTATGTTGCAACAGGGATGGATTTACTGGGGGGTGCACCCCCCTAGCCCTGGCCAGAGGGGTGCTATTTTTCATGATAAAGCAAAAAATTATTACAGGCAAAATGAGATACAGTAATTTGAGTAATAACATGATGATAAGCGAGCTGTGAACAACAATTACAATTCAAATACAGTACCGTAGTAAAGCAAGACTTTTCAGTAGTGAAGCAAGTTGATGGGCGGGCAGCACACATGACCGACAGAACTCGGCACCAGAGCCCCCCTCCCCACCACCAGATCATGCTGGATCCATCCCTGTGTTGCAAAATGTATTTTCTTCATAGTCAGGCATTCACATGAAGGTTAGAATTGCATCATGTTATGTAGTCTTAAATATTTAGAAGGGCTCTCCATTATTCAATTAAGAGATTAAAAAGGGGTCCCATGACATCTTGACATAAGAATCTCCCACCCCACCCTAGGGTATAATGAATGGTCACTTAAAGTACATGCCATCTTCTAACTGGTTGGGCACCTTTGCCCCTTTTGTTATGGAAAATCTATTCCCTACTTTTATCCCCTGGGACAAAAAAATTCAAATCAACTCTCCACCCTGATAATGTGCAGATGGTAACAGCAAGAATTGAAGCAAGCAAGCTTTACTGGAGTACATACTATTATTTGGAAGCATCAATTCACATATTCTAATTTGCCAGTCATGATTTTAAACGTAATATTTCTTATCTCATATAGAATTCTTAAGGTCTTGCTTACATTTTACTGGAAGCAAACTAAGATGCATATCCAATATTTGAGTCATATCACTCATATGTCAGTTTTGCAACTTGCCAGCTTCAACATTTGACTGCAAGGAAAACGTAAACAAGGAAAGAGCATATTACATGTACACTTCATCTGTGTTTAAAATATCAATGAATAAATATTCCAACCATTGGCACTTTATAATATAAGTGACATTCAACATACATCAATAACATATACAGTATATGCAAAAACATTTCTTTGAATCACTGTATAAAATATTCCTCATAAACTCGCTCCAATCGTCGCACAGCAGAGTCTTTGGAAGGGTAAAACCAAGTTTAACATCCCCAGTTCAAAACACTTTCCGTGTCCTCTTAAGCAAGCCTGTCCAGTTGGAGAACATCTGTCGTAATACTATTATATTTTGACTGTTAATTTTGTTTGGCGAACGAACGATATTTTATGCCAAACCCAGTTGGAAGAACAGCAACTACATAGTTCCTGTAACTCCTAGCGTTTCGTTAGTGATATTAGACGCATGTGCTAGGATTGTTCATTTGTTCATAAACACTGACAAGCAAGACGAGACATCCAGGATTAAAGAGTAGTCGTAAGTCGTTAACGCAAGTTGAATCTAACCTTTAATATCCTTCTACATACGTCTAAACTTGACGTCTAAACTTGACGTAAAACGAATGTTTTAACAATAATATCACTAAGATAAGTCCTTCGTGTAAACTACAGTTCGCAAAAGTTCGCATAAGTTCAAGTTGGTATATTAAAACGTATTGTTTTTTGTGGGGCCTGAGCACTAATATGCCCTTATACGGTTCGCAGTTACATGGCTCCCCTAAATTGTCTATTACGATAATTTACCACTAACATAACTGAATATAATAACAACGACGATAATGTTCAATAGTTCACAGTTGGCTCCTTGTCGGGAAATCTTCACTCTTCAACGTTCTCCGTGTCTTCGACTTTAAGAAGTACAACTAGCTTCTGAATAGGACGTTCCAAAATGGTCGCAACTCGACTTCGTTTTCCGCGTTCGTTCAACAGAGGATCTGCCACAATAAGCTTGACCTTTCGCACCAAACCATCTTCGTCCGTGTAAACTTCGTCAACGCGAGCCTTTCGCCAAAGGTTTCGAGGCGCGTTATCATCCTTGATGAGAACGATGTCGCCTACACGCAAGTTTCTACGAGGGTTGCTCCACTTCTGCCTTCCTTGCAAAGTGTTGAGAAACTCCTTACGCCAACGCGACCAGAACTGGTTGACAAGGTACTGGACTCGTCGCCATCTTTTCACTAGATATTTGTCTGCTCGCTGGAACTCGCCGGGTGGTGGGAGTAGTATTCGCGATTTCATTGTCAGGAGGTGGTTTGGGGTTAAGGGTTCCGCGTCGGTAGGAGAGCCAAGATTAGTCACGGTTAGGGGACGGCTATTTACAATAGCCTCTGTCTCGCACATGAACGTTTGCAGTGACTCTTCATCCAACTGAGTTCCCGCTTCGAGGAGGAGGGCATTCAGAACGTTGCGCGCCGTTCTTATCTGCCGTTCCCATACACCACCCATGTGACTGCTGGAGGGCACGTTCATTAGAAATTCGAACCAGTCGCATTCTTTTTCCAGTAGGAATGATCGCACCTTCTCTTTATCCATCTCTTGCAAGGCTTCTTTCAATTCGCGTCGAGCACCTGCTAGGTTTGTACCCTGGTCTGATCTGAGCTGACGAATGGGTCCGCGTCGAGCCAGGAAACGACGCAGAGCGTTGATAAAGGAATCCGTCTCTAACGACTTCGCCGTCTCGAGATGAATCGCCCGAGATGATAGGCAAGTAAACAAAACGCCGTACCGCTTTAGCTCTTTCCGACCTTCTTTAATATGCCACGGGCCAAAGTAATCAACGGCGCAGAAGGTGAACGGTGGCGCAGGTTGCAATCGATCGTAGGGAAGTTCGGCCATTTTCTGCTCGGATACGGTAACACGAAGCTTCCGACACGTGACGCATTTGGCGATATGATGGGCCACTGCAGAAGTTGCACCAATGATCCAAATCCCGTCCTCGCGAATCTCGTTCAGGGTGATTCCACGGCCTTGGTGTTTGACTCGTTGATGGTAATGTTGGATTATGAGGGATGTAATGTGTCCCTTTCTCGGTAGGATTGCGGAGTGTTTCACGTGAAAGGGGACATCGGCGCGTTTGATTCGTCCGCCAACTCTTACGAGTCCCTCTTTGTCGATAAATGGATCTAGTCGACATAATGCGCTGTTTCTCTTTAAGCTTGCCTTACGATCCTTGACGTCTTCTCTTTTCGTGGGGTTGGATTTCAAACGACGCAGGAGTTCCATCTCTACGGGAAACATTTCCGTTTGAATCGCCTTTATAATTTCTACTTCCGCTTGTCGCAACTGTTCCACGTTTACCGGCTGATACAAATTGGTGCGTGTCTCGGATTTAACTTGTTCTCGATCTGTCGTACAACTTCTCAGACGCTTTCGGAGCTTCAGGCAAACTGCGATGGCTCTTTTCGCCCGGTGCCAATCGGAGAAGTATTCAAGTCTCTGGAGAATCGTTGACACGTT